CTCCACTCTCACACACATCATACACAGCACTCTCATACACAGCACTCTCACACTCTGCACTCTCACACACATCATACACAGCACTCATCATACACAGCACTCTCACACTCATCACACACATCATACACAGCACTCTCACACACATCATACACAGCACTCTCATACACAGCACTCTCACACTCATCACACTCTGCACTCTCACACACATCATACACAGCACTCTCATACTCTGCACTCTCACACACATCATACACAGCACTCTCACACTCAGCACTCTCACACACATCATACACAGCACTCTCACACACAGCACTCTCACACACATCATACACCGCACTCTCATACACACATCATACACAGCACTCTCACACTCAGCACTCTTACATGCATCATACACAGCACTCTCACACTCAGCACTCTCACACACATCATACACAGCACTCTCACACACAGCATTCTCACACACATCACACTCTGCACTCTCACACACAGCACCCACACACACAGCACCCTCACACAAATCAATCACATACAGCACCCACACACAGCACCCACACCTCACACACAGGATCCATCACACACACATACTGCACTCCTCACATACACACACAACCCCCCGATACACTGCCTAACACACATACACAATACTTCCAAACATATTTATATAATATATATACACATATAAATATACACACAGCACCCTTCACACACACACACAGCACCCCTCACACACACACACAGCACCCCTCACACACACACACACACACACACAGCACCCCTAAACACATTTCATTCCAGACACACATTAGATCCTCTACCCAACTCTGGATCATCTACACACATACACACACTAGATCTCTATATACACTCTGAATCCATTATATACGCACGCTCACTAGATCTCCTATACATATTCTGGGTCCTTCAAACACACACACACACACACTCTGGATCCCCTATACGCACACTAGATTCCTTGTAAGCAAACACATACTACATTCCCTGAACACACACTCTCTACAAACACTACATCACCTACACACACACACTATAGCCTGTATACACACACTTGCTACATCCCCTAAACACACATTCTCTAAAGCCCCTAGCCACATATGCATTACATTACACCACAAACACAACACGACTAAAACCGACCTTATTACACAATACCACACCACGACCAGCTCACTCTGTACACACGCAATACCCCAAGCAGGCTCCAAAACACATGCACAATACTCTTTCCTGACCCTTTTGTCTCCTGGTATCCATTTATAGAGACACCAGAGACAAGTTGCAAGGAAACACAGTGCAAGCATGTTATTAAATTTGCTTGCACTGCGTAGAACAAATACAGGGCTTTTTTCTCATGCTAGAGCTCTTCAGCAGAACTCTGTGCATGGTCTGCCCTGGAAGAGCATTGAACCAACATGCTCACTTTGAGAGGGGGCGTGTTTGTCACGAGTGATGACAAAACACACCCTCTCTGCCCCGCCCCCTTCTTAGTGGGCCGCTGTGATAAAAAAATGCCCGGGCCGAATTTTTTTCCCAGTCCGGCCCTGGCCAAGAGTGTCAGCTAACTGCTTTTAGCCTATTACAGTGCCATTGCTGGTATGAATTGGTATGGTTTTTAATCTCCCTTAGCTATACTTACAGTAGAGGTCTGGCTGTGGGAGGCCAGGCAGCCTTGTTTAGTGTTAAATGACTTGAATGTTGGTAATATTGAATGGAGGAACTGTGCCAGGAGACTTCAGGCACTATAACAGGCACAATGAGATGAAATGGTTATAGTGCCTACAGTGCACCTTGAAATCCCCATGGTTTCCAGTACACAAACTAGCATATGAAACCCTAAAGCTAACACATGTGTTGTCCTAGTACTCCCTTTTTGTTTTGCCCCTATAGAAAATTTGACTGAAATTCAGGTGTCCCAAATATTTTATATTTTTGTAAAAAATGGTTCACTCGAACCAGATTTTCTCACCATGTGCGAGGCTTGTAATGACTACAAAATTTGAGCCATTCTTTGTAAGCTTGGCAGGGAGAAGTTTGAACATTGTTTTATAGTTATTCTTTGTTTGTGGGGTATTCTCACTGACTTTGCATCATTGTGTCTTTTGGAGTGTTAAACTCTGTCCATTAACCTATCTTTGTCAAAGTGACCTTTTGAGGTTCTGTGTTTGAGTAATTCGATAACACTGAATGACTACTTTTGTGCGTCTGAACACTGCTTGATTCCATCTATGGTTGGAAGTTTTGAACACTGCCTGAGTCCGTCTATGGTTGGAAGTTTTGAACACTGCCTGATTCCGTCTATGGTTGGAGGTTTTGAACACTGCCTGATTCCGTCTATGGTTGGAAGTTTTGAACACTGCCTGAGTCCGTCTATGGTTGGAAGTTTTGAACACTGCCTGATTCCGTCTATGGTTGGAGTTTTGAACACTGCCTGATTCTGTCTATGGTTGGAGTTTTGAACACTGCCTGATTCCGTCTATGGTTGGAGTTTTGAACACTGCCTGATTCCGTCTATGGTTGGAAGTTTTGAACACTGCCTGATTCCGTCTATTGTTGGAAGTTGTGAATGTTTTCTGATTCATTCTATGGTAGATGATTATGGAAACTAACTGATTTATTCTGCTGTTGGAGATTTTGAACACTGACTGATTCATTCTGTGATTAGAGGTTCAATCTTTTGGGGACCTGACCACTAACTTTAATTTATTCTAATTTTGGGGGTCTCCACAATGACACAATGACTTGGTGAGTTACTCTTTTGATCTTTCAATGGGTACAATTTTAGCTGCTATCATCCTTTGACTTTCATTTTACAATTCCCTGTTCAAGTCCCTGTTCTTTAGACTTCCAGATTGTTTCAGCTTTTGGAGCATAAGAAACTTGACAAGCCACAAGTTTCTGTTGTGGGAATCACTTCATAAATCTCACTAATTCCACATTTGGAACATTGATATAATGTTGGCAATTTAATGTTTTGGAGGAAAATTGAATTTCTATTTTACTGGCTTGGGAACGATAGATAGAATATAGTCCAATAACGGTGTGCAATTTGTATAAATGTAGAGCAGAGTATGATTCACTCCACTGGGTCGAGTTGTGAGTCCATGACCAGGGCTTTCCTCAGAATCACATTAACACCAGCAAGAGAGCAAAATAGCACTGGGTGGTCTGATAGCAATGAATGCAAAGGTCTGGACTATTTCATATATTTCTGGATAAAAGAAGGCAACTTTCTGGATCTCATTAACTGTATTAGTTACATGTAGCTAAAATACTTATTTTCAGTGAGTATATTTAACTCTTGGTACAAATACATACAATAATAAATACAATAAGTTGCTATGTCTGCAATTATTTATAGATGTGTTGTTGTTTTTTGTGATTTATTAAATTTACTAAACCATGAAAGGTTGTGGAAATTTTACCAGTGGTTCAGCTCATGGAACCCTTCATCACAATTGCCAAGATTCATTTACATACATAATAGTTGGCTGCAGAGTTGGCATTTGGGATAATTGTGACTCTTGTCCATCATGAAATACAGCCCAATTCATGATGAGAGGGTCCTAATACATTGTGAAAACCTAAGGCACCCACTGACACACAGAGAACTCTGATGCGGCCCTGCCAATAGAGTATTCATCAATCCTGGAGACGAGTAAATGTTGCACTTACTGCATCATGATGTCACGAGGTAACCTGTAACATCTAGGGCTGGTATCATTACACAGCAGTGGAGTCCAGACAGAAATGATGTCCATCACTCCTCATAACTTAATATCCCTTAATTTTCAAACCATCAGTAGCAACGTGTTAACAAGCAATCTGCTTGAAGAAGACACACTTGTGAAAATGTTGCTGATAATGGGTTGAAATAAAGGGATATCAAGTTATAAGGAGTAATGGACGTAATTTCTTTCTATTGGATTTATTACTGGTATGTCAGTAGTCCTTGCACCCTTTATTGCCTTAGGTGAGTGCTCTTTCCTAATTCACTGCTTAGTAGTAGAGTTGAGATAGGCTAGATAAATGATAGGGTAAAATTATCAGGATGAGAAAGTGGCTGTAACGGAGCTCCAGTTCTCTCACCAAGTTCCTCTGCCAAGTCTGCTTCCTCTTATATATCAGGGACCCTGGAGCACCTCAGACCCAGCCGCCGTGGCTTTACTGGGATCAGTACCAAACACCAGACTACACTTGGTGAAGGTGAAAACAGTAACTACCTTTTAGACATAGCACAAATATATTAAGTCCCCAACAGCCTCATTTACATACAATCGGGTGCATCAAGTACTATAGTACAAGGAGGGGTGGGGTCAGACAATGGTAAGGCCTGATGGGAGTTTGAGGTGGGACAGTGCAACTAGTTTAAACTAAACCCTCGGACAACGCCCTGCCAGGGAAGCAATAGGACAGGAAAAAGGGGGAAGGGGAGAGGTACAGACAAGCAATACATTCAACATACCCTGCACCAATAATGGGCGCAGGATGCCGAAACACAAAAAGCAAAAAGAATCTGGGGACCCACACATAGTGTCTGTCTTCTATCCCCAGTGACAGTGATTCCTGTCACAGTGGCACTCTACGATGTGTTCTTTGATTTAATGGGAAGGCTGGACACTATGTTCTGTCTAGTTTACAAATACATAGTGAGACACAGATTTTATTATTACCCAACTTATCTGTACTAATTGTAGCAACATCAGGAGGAACAAGACGTTGCTTTCAGGAATTATTTGACCAGGAACAACAAGACATACTTCAATTGGTATGATTTGATCCATCCGAAATTGCACTGAACAAGACACCATGAGTGCACCATGAATGCGTTAAGAGGAATTTCATTTTAACGAACCAGCTCAAACTCATTTTTTTAATTTAAGTCTAGTAGTTAGTACCCCAATTGAAGTACGTGTCAGTAACCCTGATGAGCTTTTCTTTTTCTATGAACTATGAAGTTACCACATAAAGTCCTCTTACTTACAGCTCTCACAGAGGTTCATTTTTGAAAGATTTTTTCCATCGAAGGATTCCTCGAACACAGATCCGTTTTCCTTCTCTTCAAATGTATGTAAATACATGGCTTTATTGTCCATCACGTTTTAATCTGCCATAAAAGAAAAAAAGTTCATGAACATTCACTAAAAAATTTTTACAATTTTGTAACATGCATGCCCCTCACATGTACCCACACACCATGTCCTTAGAATTCCAAAGAAACATGTGCTATCATACCGTGTAAAGTACCCCTGTACTCCAAGACCCAGGACACCATATTGTTCCCAGACTATTAACCAGTTTAATGATATCCAGTGTTACCGTAACCCTCTGTCAGTGGTTCCATCCAAAATCAGTTGAGCTGGGCAAATACAACTGCTGTCATCACCTGAAAATTTGCTGAGAAAGAGTTCAGACAATTTGATCCTACACTCAACTTGTAGAGATTTCACATGAACTTTTAAGAAAACAGTACCTAATACAACCACATAATAACCTAAGCAGATCCCTACAGGATTCTTTAGTGAATAAAGGGTTAAAAACCCCTGTATTTGCTCACCTTTTCCCAGTGTTGACATCCCTGGCGCTGGGTCCTTGCTCCTCCCCACTCCTCCCTGCCCCTTTAAGCATAGAACTAGAGGTAACTTTAAAATATCATGAAAAAAAATAGAAGCTGGAGTTATGACAGTACTTCAAATAGGTACAGGTGCTGCTTTCCCACCTCACATGTGTGTGCACCAAGTGCTACAGCTTTATTTGAAGAACAAGCATCTATCAAGCTTCCCCAGATGTTGCTGGATTCTCATGATTCTCAGCCTATCTATTAAATTCATAGAATCATGGGAGTTGTAGTTCAGCAACATCTGGAGGGCCGAAGTTGGGGGAAGCCTAACCTATATAAAAGTTTCAGGCAAAGCTCCTTCCTCAAGGTCCAAGATGCATTGAGAAAGGGCTTTGTCCGAAACGTTTGTAAAGATGCTTGACTTTAAGATGTGGGATGTATGTGTGTGCAATGAAATTGTGTGCCAAGCTAAGGATACTAATCTTCCTCAAATTTGGACACAAGTTTTAACACTGTCCCTTTGGGGTAAATGTAAGCAGTCCCCTGTTTTCAATGGTTACTCCAACAACCATAAGCATGAGCTTAAAACGCTACGCATCCAGAGATATATACACTATTGTGCCGGAGGCTAGTTACACCCCCTTGTACATCTGACTTAAGGACCACTACTCAGGACTGTCTAAAGTCAATTCAAGGCCTAAAATAAATGTTTGCTGTCAGCGTGTACTGGCGACAGCATTGTCAGCTTCTCCCTTTGAAGGTAGCACTGGGAGCACACTTTCAAGGGGAAGATTGATTGCCTTATATATTTGATGCATTATGTTGTTCTTCAAGTTATATAAACTTGCTTACATTTATATGGATCTCACCACATGTTTAAGGACAAGTCCCCAAAGGCTAGTCCTTGTCCAAAAATAAAGTAGTGTGTGTTAGTTCCATTGGTAACTGTGCATCCTGTATAGTTTGTTCAGGGAATCCAGTAGCAGAGTTTTCAGACCTGCATGCTGGCTGCAGTCTCTGGTCCCAGTGTATAAAGAAAGCTAGGCCACAAATGCCTTTGTAAGGGCAGTAGGTAGAAGCAGGACAAGAAGAGGGGTCAATACCTTCCTGGGTGAAGCAGGAGAGGCAGAGGGGTCAATACCTTGGAGACAGATGTGTAGGCAGAGGTATCAGTACCTCCCTTGGATGAAAAGTCTTTCCAGAGGCCATCTGTGGTCACTGTAGCTGCTGGCTTGATCCCCAGTTATGGTAATGGTCTTCACTGGTAACCCTTTAAGTATTCGTTCCAGACTGGCCCACTCTCAAGTGATGGCCCGACTTCCCACTCCCTGCAAATAACTATTGAAATGGATGCTTAATGTTTAAACTAACTGCACAGGCTGGTGTCCTTTCCCACAGCCTTTCACTATCCTAATTTAATTATAGTAACATATACAAACCTCTAAAGCACTTTAGCTTGGTGAAGTTGTTGCAGACCCCAGCTGTCAATCAGACAACTGGCCCTGTTACGTCCTGGTTTGGATAGCTCAGGAGAGATAAACACAAGAGGCAGCAATTGCCCAGAGCAGCTGTTTTGCAAAGACTTCTCATTGAGCTGCATTGGGAAGTCTGTGATTGGACAGACAAAGAAAGTCTGTGATTGGACAGCCACAGAAAGTCTTGGCTGGGGAAGAAAGGGAGGGCTTGAAAAGGCTGCACACTAGAGATATGCAGCCTTTGCAAACTCTTCTTAGATATACCCAGAATGAAAAAATGTATCATTAAATGCGTGCATGTTTTCATTGGGATATAACAACTAAATTGTTTAAAAACATAATATTTTATTTCCAGTATTTTGGCATAGACATACCGTAAAATAATATATACATATTTCACATTTTGTAATCAAGTGAATCATATTCTCGGTATAAATAACATTTGTTGTTAGGAGATAGATTGTGTTCCATTGCAATGCTCCTGTGAGATTGCAAATGGCAGCGATGGAAAGCAGATGTTCTAAGAAAGTGAAAGGGAATATTTAGTTAAAACACAGAAAGTGTAAACAGCCTTTTTTGACCACACAATACAAACATCACATAAAGTCAGCAAATGACAGACCACATGTATGGGAAGAACACAGGTGAGCAATTTAACACCATTCACAGAGAAGTATAAAGAGATTTTGCTTGTGGTCCCATATATCCTGTCAGATCCTTCTTTGGGATAATTCATCGTGTTGCTAAGGCCTCGAACCCTTGACTTTGCTGTTTCATTTCTGATTTCTTGGCTGCAACTAAGGAATTCATACTGTCTGCAGTGCCTAGTTTAATGCAGTGATTTCTGGTAATGTTTTATAGGGGTATTCAATATAAAAAAAAATGAGAATTCAGGGTAAATTCAAAGTGAATTTCACATTTACGGTCGAAATAGCCAAACATGAAACTATGCTTTAAGTTCAGCTGCTTTGGTCCTAAATCTGAAATTCACATGGAATTTACTTTAAACATCTACCTTTCATAAATAGCCCTGTTAATAAACTATCATCTACCCCTCGTGCTTATTATCTCATTACCTGATGTCTGCTTATATAGAATATATAAACATTGTTTGGGGGCCTTTGGTCACTGTTGCTCTTTTGGGATTAACCCTTTGCTGCTTGAATTTGGAATCTGCATCTTGCAAACTCTGAACCAGCTCTTTCTACCTAACCCTTTATCATTGAAATCCCAATCATCCCCTAGGCTTCTTTCTACTGCTTGTATGACATTGTCTATCTGGGTCACCTTTCGTTGGTTTTATACAAATGAGTATAATTTATTGATCTTTTCATCTTGCCTCCTCCTTCTGCTATAGGCCCTTGGGTTCTTGGCATGTTATATTTACTGACTGAAACGCGTTAGGAAGTTCAGCTTGACCTTCTACCCTGTTTGTCCTTTTTCTTTTTGTGCCTAATAAACTTCGGTTTGATTTTTGAGTGCTTGCTGTTTCCGGCATCTCACTTTTCAACAGGTAAGTGTGGCTTTTATTACTCTTATAATCTATGTAGCTTTATATTTTCTGTTCTTTATTAATAGCAGGATATTTGATATCTGTAAGCTGGGAAAGAAAAATCTATTGCAAACATATTCTATCATCTGAGAAAACAAGGCTCTCAGTTCTACAAATTCACCTTCATATAGAGCTGTATTACGTGGAAAGGCTCACACAGACAGAGCTCCAGGCCCAGGGCTCACCAGTTACAGTGGTCTGAGCCTGGAGCCTGGCGCCTCTGGATGTGTGGGATCTCTCTCCATGAGGCAGCATGGAGATCTTTAGATTTTCCTGCTATGCCCTGTACCTCCTCACTACATTGAGGGAACGTTGCGGTCTGCATCTCTATTTGGTGTAGTTCACTTTAAGATGTCTCTAGTGGCCCAATTGTGCTTCTTAGTGACTGGGAGTGTCAGAAGAGAGCCAGTGCTCTTAGTTACTGACTTGGTTAGTTAGTTACTGCCTTAGTTACTTAGTGCAGGGACCACAAGGGAGCTCTTAAAGTGATCTGCATTAGTCATCCAGTTCCCCAGCATGCCAACCGCTGGACCACGAGGGATCACACCTGTCCTACCAAAAAGTAAGCAGGAGGGTGGGAAATAAAATACTTACCCACACACTCTCAGACACTACACACAATACTCAGACTCTTCAACACACAACTTTAATTCATCACACATGCCACCAGCAAGCCAATGTGCCCCCCACCCCACATACAGCTCTCAGCCCCCCCAAACCCTCTACACAAACAACACTCAACCACTACATGCAACACTCACAGAAATAGAGCCCCAGGCCTAGGAGAGAGGCTTAGGAGAGAGGCCTAGTTCTGCTTTCAGAGCCCATCTTACCTCCCACGGTTGGACCAGAAAGTTCTCGTTATCTTATCATTTGTTATTTACCAAATAGTTTAATCTTGTAGGATTGTTTTCTCTAAACTCACTGATCTTACTACTGCCTTTCTCTGTTATATGACAACATGGTACATAGGAAGAACACTGGTTTATTCCCTTTCTGTAATCCGA